ACATCACAACCACCCAACATGACCGTTAAACATGTGTTGCACACAACACAGGAGCCTCGCTGCAACAACACATTTCATCACCAGAGCACTCACACTGATCCTGATGAATAAATCCCCCACACACACACACACACACACACACACACACACACACACACACACACACACACACAAAACACTGCTCGTCACATTCACGACTGCAGAAAATGACACATCTGAAAGCTGGAAGCCACCTGCAGATCCTCCACCTAATGTGTCTTCCTGCCGCCACAGTCCAACAGGCGTCCATGTTGCCATCATCTCATTAACCTGTGTTTTTCATGAGGGTGCAGTTGAGAGGGAGGAGATTGGGAAGAGGAAACAGCTCTGTGACTGAAATCAGATGTTTACCTCGCAGGGAGAAGGAGCCACCTAAACACAGCCACCCGACCGATCCACCGAGCAGAGGCTCAGGGGCCGTTGCAGATCCTGGTCCCACAGAGACTCCCCAGCCCAGGCATCCTTCCACCCCATCCCTGCTCTCTGCTCCTTCCTCTGCCGTCTGCGGTCAGCCCATCCACACCGGCTCGACCCCCCTCCCCTCCGACTGGGAAGGGAGCCTCTCTTTTTAAATCCTCACTGTGAAATAAGAGAAGGTATCGATTCTCTCTCTCTCTCTCTCTCTCTCCTCCTCCTCTTCCTCTCTTCTTCCCCCATCCACCGCTCTCTCTTCTCTTCTGTTTTTCCTCGCCCCCAACCCCCCCACCACCTCCTCACTGTCTCCACCTCCCCGGGACCGAGGAAGCTCTGTTACCATGGAGACGCATGAGGCTGACGTCTGATTGGTGGGGTTTGTTGTGATGCAGCGAGTCGGCGGTGCAGCCCACCAGATTGATTGCCTTTTCATTTCAGTGTACATCACTCTCCAACACTGATCCAGAGTCAGCTCCCCACTTGTTTTATTATTATTTATGATTTATGACTTTCATTTATTTTACTTTATTTGATTAGAATTTTACTTTTATTGTTAATACATTTATTTCTTTTTATCATTATTTATTTGCATGCAACAAATGGGCCGCGAAGTAAAAGCCAGATTAATTTCGCAGACGATATAAATCATATAAAAACAGACACAAACACCAAATCCTCACGTTTGAGAGGCTGGAACCAGAGAGAGTCTCATTGTCATCAAACATCTAGAGGAAGGAACCTTCCTTAACTTATTGAACTGTGCAACAAATGGTTTTAAAGCTGAGATTATTCAACTAGAACTGAAACTAATAGTTATTGTCAGAGTCGATTCAGCTGCTGATTGTTTTCTCGATTGATCTCTTGGTTTATATCAAACACTGGAGAAAAATAAAGAGAAGTTTTGGCATTTCTGCTTTGAAAAATTACTTAAATGATTAATTAACTGCATCAATAGCTGGCGATTGGCCAAATTTTCTGTCAATCAATTAATCGGTTGCTCAACTTTTCTTCACCACTTGTCTTTTTTTGCGTAAAAGCAGTGATTAAGAATTGTTATAAATATAAGTTTTTACTGATTAAAGTGTCCATGAAGTTCAGACTCACATTCTGCAGGTTCAACATTCAAACCATCTGTAACATAATTATTAATTAACGCCTTAATTAAAATGTGATGCTGCGGACGTGTAGTGAAGCCGCTCCCGGAGGCAGATCACCCGCTCTGATGATTATTCATCTGTTTGCAGGGTGTCGCTGCCGTCCTGTTTTTCCTGCTGTGTGTTTTCCCTGCGTAGTCCGCAGAATTTGAATGAGCCAGCTGAGTGGCGTGGACACAGGTCTTTCCTTTTGACTAACAAATCGGCGAATGAGGAAAAATGTACGCCGTACAAAATGCTATTATTCCAGACTGTAGTTGTGACACCGCTCTCAAATCTGTTAGTATTAAACTCAATACCCATCAATCTTTACCTCTGTTTTGAAGGTATTTCCACAATTGTTAAAAACTCTTTTAACCATCTGAATGTAGTAAATATTCTGTCTGTTTCACAATAAAAGATTTTTAACTCATTTAAAAGTAGAGGCCTCTTTCCTCTAATTCAAACTGTACGCCTATATCTTCCAGAATATAATGATGTTACATTCTAATATTTTATATTTTTGTGAGAAATATTTTCATGCGAAATAATGTTTTGACGTTTTGCTTGTGTTTTACAAAAAGAGCAAAGAAGAAATGACATTTCTGACTTCCTGCAGCTGTAGCTTGCAACGTGAGATCATTTCCTTTATCATTAATTTTGACCAATTTAACTAATTAAAAGAAATGACAACATACTTTAGCTTTAGCATGGAGGTGGATTGTAGGATTTGCAATTTTAGAAATGATGTTTACATATTACAAAATTGTTTTCCCAATTACATTGTGATGAAAAAGGTAATAATTGGCTCAGAAATTAGCTTTATATAAAACATAACTTTGTGGTCATGGATTTTTTTGTTAGTAACCGTTAGAAGTGTTGGTAAGTTGCGTTCCTTACCTTCTGGTCAGAGCCAGGCTAGCTGTTTCCCCCTGTTTCCAGTCTTTATGCTAAGCTAAGCTAACTGTCTCCTGTTGAACTACTCCTTTTAAGGATTCTGGAAATACCCTCAGAGCAGATTTCATCTTAGATCTCTGTGTGTTTTCTCTCTCAGACGTTCGTACCGACGTGTCGCTCTGTGACTCAAACGTGGTGGTGACACATGAGAGGCACAAGCCAGAGCTGTTTCTGTGAATGAGACCTGATGTGCACTGAGCGAGCGCTGCAAGCGTAGGACAAACTCTATGACTCACACGTCTACGCTTTATAAACGTCTCTTTAATTACATCCAGCCGACGCGTCTCTGTGGGGTTGAGGTTTAAAAATATCCCACCTGCAGCCAGACGTGTTCTGTAGGGGATTGTGAAGCCGCCGACTTCTCTTTAAGGACATTTCAAAACGGCACGAGAATTGAGAGTCGGCGAGGCCTTTTGGCTCCGAGGATGAACCTGACAACGTTTACTACAAGAGAGCACAAAAGGCAAACCTACACCTAGATTAAATTTACTGCTGTACTGACGAGCGGGGGGGCGGGGGGGTGAGCCCTGCGGTTCATCGCTCTCCTCGCTCTCAGCCTCTGGTTTTATCTGCCAGCTACAGGGGTGTACATCCTCTGAATGAAATGACTTGTTGATAGGTACTCCGCCCAGCACACACACACACACACACTTTATCTGAGCATCAGCAGAGCACACGCTAACAGAATCAACCCCTGTTTTCTCTAAACACCACGGCCCCTGCTACACGTGAACATCTGCAGCTGCTGTTGCGGCTGTTAATTTGTGATCTTGTCAAACACGTCTTTCCTCACCAGACGCTCCTGTTACTCATCCTGCACATATCAGACCAATCAGACTCTCAGGTTACTGTCACCTCACTGACGGTATTTGTCAGGACGTCACGCTGGCGGGGCTGCAGCATGTGTCTGGCTAAATACCGGGTGGATTGTTGTATTTATATTTCACCTCAGCTGAAAGTTCACATGTCACCAGACAGGGAGGTTACTGCAGAGACGCAGGTGCAGGTACTTTACTTAAATATTTCCATTTAATGCCCTTTTTCTTTTTACCAGTGGTGGAAGAAGTAGTCATGCATTCAAATTCCAACTTCAGCAAAAGTACTAGAATAAGTATTATGAGCAAAATATGCTTAAAATATCCAAGTAAAAGAATAATAAAATGTAATACGACTCATTTATAAAGATACAACACATTGTTAAAGATTAAACTAGTGGCTCCCAACTTTTCTAACTTTACAGAAGAATCAGCGTCTTGTGGCTCCTCGTCTTGTTTAAGATGTCTGAGTTGTCATCAGCTCGGACAAAGAGACTTTTCCTCTCTGAACTTTCAGTGACTGTTTGAGGCACAATGACTTTAAATCATAGAATATTTCACCAAAAAAAAAAAAAAAAAGCCTTAGAGAAAAGAGAAAATGAACAGATTAGTGGATGAGAACTTTGTTTTTTCTTCTTTCCTACATCATTTATCTTTCAAATTTAAAGCGCCATCACACTGGAATAATTTGCCTAATTCACTCATATCCGTCACGTCTTTTTCATGACTCTTTCGTTTACAGGGAGACTCAGTACTGATGGTGTCATTTCATTTGGTCTGACAGTGTTCATTTATTTCTTGTTACTTTTTTTCTTTTTAAGTACTTTTAGTGGCTGGACGTCTGGATCTCAACTTCATCAGAGAAACGAGCTGAGGAAACGTTAGCGGCGGCGGAGGCGGCGGCGGCGGCTCAGCTCGCAGCCCCTCCCTCACGTCCTGTCTCCACCAAACAGTGTCACAGAAACACTGATTTCTAAAGGTGTTTTTACCAGTTTTCATCAGAGAGTCTGTTTGTTGTGGAGACCTCTGTGGATCATTCAGCTGCTGGTAAAACCCTCCTGAACCACCGACACTGAAGGAATACAAACGGCAATGGCCGTGACGACAACAACTCCCATGATCCCACGCTACTTCACGACGTCATTAAAACTCACTCTTTTGTTACTGCTTCGATTGAGAAACCCCCGAGCGCCAGAAAATACGTACTGTCCGTTAAATTATCATATTATTACTATTATTTATTTGTTTGTTGCTTCAGCGTTAATGACGAGTGAAAGCGAGATGGTTCTTCTCAAAACATTTAAAAATTTTTAGAAATAAATGAATCGTCTCACAATCTTTCAGATTTAGCTGGTGACCCTTTAGAGGGGCCCGATCCTTAGGTTGGGAACCACTGGACGAAACTAACTGTATGTAAAGTAGTTAAACCTGGAGCAGCTACAACAGTAAGATGCTGCTGAAGCATCGATGCATCAGGATCTAATAAAGCTTCAGAACAAGTACTTTTACTTTTGGTAATTTAGGTATATGTTGCTGATAATATTACGTAGGATCTGAATACTTCATCCACCACTGTTCAGCTGACAGGAAATGGTTTTAAAACGGCTTTTCAGCACCACAGGTACAAGTTGTTGTCACTGACCTGCAGTCCATCTCCAGCGGTGGTTTCCTCCCTCCTTCCTGTGAATGACAAACAGCTGTGATGAGATTCAGTGAGCAGCTGATGTCCCGCTAATGTAACATGAATTCAGAGCACGAGAGCTCACACACCGCTCCGTGAGGGAGTCACACTCATACCCCAAAAATACCACAGAGTAAGGAGCAGAAGTCATGTTTCGAAACACTTCCTTCCTCAATCCAGCGTGAGAAGAACAAAAGTTCTGGCAGAGAATAGACTAAAATAGAGAACAAAATATCAGGAAAGCGACACGTCATTTAAACTCTGTTTTCTGTGTATGACACCAGGCGGAAGTCTCCTTTCCTGAATGGATGCCAGACATGTTCATCCACAGCCAGTGTGGTCATCTGACACTGTCACAACATGACAACATAAAAAAGAGACGTGGGCAGCAAATGAGAGTGAACGCGGCCCTGACGTGATGGCTGGGTGATGAGAGAGGACGGGCTATTTTTAGCTCAGGGCGGCGGAGGAGGGGAGGCGGGAGGTGGAGGGGGGTGAGGCGGGTGCAGAGAGCAGTGTGACGGTGGTGGGGGCTGCTAGCAGGGGTAAGTTGTGATGCTTCTCAAATTGCTCTGCTTTTCCTGCGTTCTGGTAAATGATGGCGATGCATCAGTGTCTGAGGAGGGAGGGGAACGCAGCTAATCACTGCTCACGCTGTTCATCTGGGTCTGCGGTTACTTTGTGGAGCCACTGAGGCATTCAGTGCACTTAAAAACGACCGCTCGAGGAAGGAGTAAACACTGACTTCATTTGCTAATTTGAGGCCTGATATAAAAACAGAGCTAACTTTTGAAGTTTAGACTCTTTTTAAAGGTCCCATATAGTCCCATAAAGGTCTGTGTCCATGTGTAGTGTGATTATAGATCAGGTCTAGCTTCTATATTAATACTGTGAAAGTATCAAAGCCTCAGTCCACAGAGAAATGCACACAGCCTGTATTCAGAAACTGAGCCTTAAAACCAGCCGTCAGGACTTCTGGAACTTTGTGATGTCACAACAAAGCACTCACCAAGCCCCGCCCACCTGGACCCACCATCCAAACCTTTACAGGATTTGGTTTCTCTGAGTGTTTTTACCTGAAATCTGTTATATTTTTATTGGATCACTCAGAAAACAGTCAGCCAATCAGAAGAGAGGCTCAGAGCCTCCTCTCTTCTGATTGGCTCACCGACCTGTTGTTACTAGAGCTCCAGAGAGAAGCCTGAGAGAGGAGATGTAAAACTACACTGAGATGGTTTACAATGGGTTCCCAGATTTCTTTGGTTCCTTGAAGGCAGCACAACAAGCTGTAAACACATTTTTTCATTACACTGATATTGAACATATTATAAACATTTGTGTGTATATGTGCATATTTTCTTTCTTTAGCTCTTTTATGTACTTTGTTCTATTTTATTTGTTTTATTCTATTCTAATAAATATTTGAGTATTTGTTGTGTGTAGTGAGGAGGGGGCAACAAGTGCATTTCACTGTGCAGTCCTGTTTAGTATAATGAGAATAAAGCTGAACGCATCACAGTGGGTATATACAGTACAACCTTTATCTAATCAGGAAATCTCATTGAGGTCGAGATCTCTTTTGCAAAAGAGAGACAGAAAAACAAACACAACCAGACAAAAACAAAAGCACAAACAGCATCAGAGACGATCACGGACGTCACTAAATGGATCTGAAGTTTAAAATCCCAGAGGGACGAGACATTCAACTTTTAAAATCTCCTGTAATTCGTTTCCTTTATGGGGTGTAAGAGTGGAGGCTCAGTGTTTATCCGACAGATCTGCTCTGGTGAGCTGCTGTGGTTTTAAATGTGAGAATAGAAGTGATGGACTGAGGCGACCTGCGCAGGAGACATGTATAAATAAAAATGTTAGCTAGAATATTTATCTCCCGTTATCAAAGTCAAAGCTCAATAAGTCATTTAGAGGTCGAGCAGCATGACAATAAAGGACATCTCCGTACACAGACCTGATGGTCGACTGTGAACTGCATCAGTTTTTGCTTCACTTTGATCTCAGAGACACATTTTCGTCTTTCATTTCTGAGCCAGCTGCTGTTTGGACAAACTCCCAGATATTTATAAGACTGGACAATTTCAGCTTCGGTCCCACTGAGTGTGTGGCTGTGAACTGGAATTATGGGTCCGTGGGAATAAAACACATTTTGTACAAGCCTGACTTTGTGCAGAGACGTCTGAAGATCATAAAAAAGGCAGATTTTAATCCTCTAATTGATTCAGACTAAGGAACCAAATCCAAACGAACGCTGCGTCGTGGAATAAAAGTCAGAGTCGTGTCGCCCGTCGTCCGACAAATAACCAGCTCGGAAACTAATTCATTTTTTGCAAAAATGACAAAAATACACAGAGATGAGCTTTTGTTTTTAATCAGACTTTCATGTCAGCGAATCAGTTACTTCATCTCTGGACTACTGGTTGGTTTTTAGGCATCAGAGGAAATAAGGGCCCCAACAACAAATCTTTAGCCCCGAGCCGGAGGAGGTTCATCCTGCCACGACTCTCTGTCAGACAGTGACGAAGCCTGTTTCCCAATATGTGGAACTTTTCCTTTTAGATAACAAACATAAGTTGCAGCCTCAGCACCAACTGGTTCCTCATCCACCACAAACACAGTGAGGCGTCTCTCAACAGCTCACAATCCCACAACTCATTCGCCGCCTCGTCGTCGCGTGCAGACGGAGGCTCGGGGAGAAAATACAGAGGTGTGGAGGGAAATCAGGATGTAGAGACGACGGCTCGAGGTTTTAAATTTGAGATATTTTATATAATATCACGGCTCCCAGTGATCCCCGCTTTACACGACTGCTTCACTGTTTCCCCAGAAACCAGAGAGCTGAAAACCAGAGCTGAAACGATTAGTTAATTAATGTAAATAATTAGTTAATTTCATTTCTTCACTTCTCTCATGGAATAACACGACTTTGCCCGAGGTTTTTTATGTGCGTTGATTAAAAATCAAAACACAATTTGAGAAAATACAACTTTACAACAAATGAGCTCGATAATAAAATAAAACAATTCAGGTTTAAAAGGGAGTATTTGTCTTTACAGGATGGATTTCTAACTTCTAACTCCACTTTGTCACTGATAAACACACAGGGACAAAAAGGTGAGTAAGTGAAAGTGGGGGGAGGACAGAAAGGGGGGGTGGGGGGGTGGTGCCGTTAACGACATATAGAAGAAGAAACGGTCCGACAGCAGAGGGAGACACCGCTGTTATTTGAACTGAGATGTTTGAGGGTCCAGAGATAAAGCAGGGGAAGTTCCACTCCAGGACCCAATACCATTACCGACTGGCCCGGCTCCAGGCCTCCGAGGCCGGCTAATATATACAGCCGACCTCGGCCGGTGTAGTGTGGGTGACACAGAGCGCGCTGTGGCGAGGAGCCAGACTGCAGCAACACCCACTTTCATTTGTCACAGAGATTAAGCATCTGCTAAGACTAGAGATCCATCTTTTGATTACTCACATTCATAACGTCCGACTGGAAAAGAGTTTGTGGAGGGAACACGAATCGCCCACACACACACAAAGTCAGCATTTCAGCCATGCTAGCGGCGTGCATGGCTGCAGTGATGCTAATGTTGGTCTGCCCCAACTATTGGATGGATTGCCATGAAATTTGGCAAAGATATTCCTTCTCCCCAGAGGATGAACCCTAATAATGTTTGAGATTCCCCAGTACCACCAACACATCAAGGTTTACACTCAACCTGTGGATTTCATTGGCTTTTAGCAAAATATCTTGACATCTTTAGGAAAGATTTTCGTGTAATATGGTACAGCTGTTCATGTTCCCCAGAGGGTGAATCCCAATTACTTATGTTGTTTTCAGTAGTTTTCATCTTGTGCCTTTAGCGGATCAAAGTTTTCGATATAAATATGAAAACAGTGGAAACATTGCGGAGCACAGTGTAGAACAAAATCTGATCCCTCGTGTACGTGTAATCACATGATCAGCGCTCAGCCAATCACACAAATGCTGATCGCAGTTTCAATTCAACCTTTATTCTTATCTTATTCAAGATCAACAAACCTCAAGCTGCGTTCAAAGAACCAAATGAGAATTAACAGGATTATTTTTAGCCTGATCAGCAAGGGACAAAGTATGTTGACAATCAGTCAAGTCTCGGAGGAAACAGATGATACTTTTAAATAACAGCGACGCTGTAAGTATCGAGTAAGCGGGGAGCTCTGCTTCACCCATACCCCTGAATATATGTGCGTGCATCTGAATATTTGATGAGCAAACGACGGCTCGCTGCATCCGAACAAAGCCTGGGGATTGTTAATTAGAGTAAGTGCACAAATGGAGCACCGCAAACATGGCCAAATGTGACAGCTTTGGTTTCTCAGAACAACCCCACCCCCCAACCCCACCTTGGTCTCACATGACCCCCCCCCCCACGACCCCTCGCCCTCTAATACCGACGTCATGCAGGTAGGTATCTATTAGGTAACAGTTACACGTCTCATTGTAAACCCTGACAATGTGAGTCTAAATACAGCTTGTCCTGTGTTATATTTTTTATTTTTATTTAAATATCTAATTGCACATATTACATTATTATCTACTATTTATCTTGTTTTTAAGTATTTTATATTGACATTTTGCAGTTTTTCTTTACTTTGTCCACTTTGCTGCTGCAACGCTGCAAATTTCCCCATGTGGGAATAACAAAGGAATATCGTATCGTATCTCTTATCTTAAAATATAATGTTATAAATCCTGCACTCAAAATCACACCTAAGTAAAAGTAAAGAAATAAATATGTATTTTAAAATATATTTTAAGTATCAAAACTAACGGCTTCTTTGCTGGTGTTTCCTTATATACAGTTTAACTAAAGTCCTAAAAATCTTATTTTCTTAAAACAAACAAAAATCTGTCACTTCTGTAAAGAAGAGTCTATAGCTTGAACCAAGGAAGAATAAAGCAGATTTATTTGTTATGTTATACACTATGAATATATTCATCTTCATTGTTTTAAACCTGATTCTGTTCATTTGTTTGGTTGTTTTAACACAGATTTAAAAGCTTAAGAAAAGGACCAAGGCTGGAAATTCAGCTTCAGCTTCTCTACATTACATGTGTACATAGGTTTGCATGTAATTCCACATGAGAGACGTGGTGCATATGTACATGCATGTGACAGGAGCAGACTGAGGAGCGACAGACAGGCCGAGAGCTCGATGGTCTATTTGCGGCGCAGTGCTTCACCCTGACAGGCGGAGGAAGGTGGTGGGAGGGCAGAGACAGACAGACAGACAGACAGACAGACAGACAGACAGACAGACAGACAGACAGACAGACAAGGCTTAATGCAAGTGTCGTTCATTTACATCCAGCATCACACACACACACACACACACACACACACATTATAGAGTGCCTCCTGCAGCCTCCCACCACACAGTCCTGACTGTGAAGCCCTGATCAGTGGGCTGGAATCCCTCTGTTTACGCTGCTAAAAATAGATTTCACACACTGCGATGACGTGGCATCTCGTGACAAGACCCCCACCCCCACCACCCATCACCCTCCTCCTCCTTCCTCTCCCATCCAGATTGTTGCACCGAGCGAGCCATGCCATTATTGGTATGCAACGCTCGGCCCGGCTGCGTGCCACCTCTCCTCCAGTGCCGTCTGTCTTTTCTCTGGAGGAGAGGGGAGGGAGGGGGAGGGGTAGTGGGGGTTTGGCACGTCCCGTGAGAAAAAAAAGGCAAATTATAAATTCAAAAGGGGGAGATAGAGGAAAAGAGAGGGAGGGATGAGAGAGGGGAGAGGTGGTTGGGAGCGAGCGAAGGAGGGGGCTGCAATCAATACTATGACTCATTCTTTCTGCGGTGGCTACTTCCTAACAGCATTCATTAAAGCAAACCTAATCATTTTGGCCTGATAATCAGATCCTGTCAGGCTCCATCCCCCCCCCCCCCCCCCCTCCACCCCCCCTCCACACACGTTCAAATCGTGCACAATGAACCTGAAATGGGAGGAAACAGGAGACGTGCATTATGGGATGGATCCGATCGGTTGTGGCGATCGGGAAGCTGCATGATAGGAGATGGTGAAGTGACTAAAAATAACCAACCAACCAGACTGAAGTATCTCTACGCCTGTTTTATGACTTGCCATGAATTTTTTTTTTTTAATCATGTTCCCCAGAGGATGAATCCTACGGACCTCGGTGATCCCCTGATGTTTCCTCCAGCGGCACCAGAGGGTTTTTGGAGTGAAATATTTCCTGAACTATTTGTTGCATCGCTGTAAAAACTTGTTTCAGACGTTCACGCTCCCCTGAGGACGAACTGTAACACCTTTCCCATCTAGCGCCACCATCAGGTCTTTGGTTTAACCTGCAAAACTAATGACAACCCCCATCAGCTTTACGCCCTTACAGACATGTCAACAAACAGTTGGCAGACTGGCTGCTGGAAGCTCTATCAAAAATAAAATCCAATATCAACACTAATGCGATCTCCCCACTGCACAGAAACCATGTGGTGATACCGATAGTTTAAAGCACCGAGGTGACAGCCAGGCTCATAAACGCTTCCCAGGTTTTAAGTGCGCTTCCTAGAAAGTTTTGGCTCCACTGCAGCATCCCCGTCTAAATAAAGTTAAAGGCTAAGAGAGGATCAGCTTCTTTAGTGTTTTCACCTTCACCGGCTAAGAATAGCTGCGGCTCTGGAGGTGTCGGTTTTGCTGTACAGAGCATTTGTGGCAAGGAAAAGTGGTGGGTTTATACAGTATATAAGTAAGTAAACATGTAAATTTAATGTATATAGCGCTTCATAGAAAAGGGGCCAAAAATATGTGATAATTTCAGGAAAATGTCAATAAACGCACCAAGAAAAGCAACGAAGAATAAGGCCGCAGGTTAGCAAAGATGAATGTAAACAATGCACAAATTAAATATTTAGAAAATTATGTTTTAAGAAGGAGGAAATAAACTTAACATGGTTTTTTTTTTTTTAGGTTTAAATGAGTTTTGGTGAGAAACATGTTTATAAAAGAAAAAGAAAAAACCTCCACAGGGGACCTTTAACTATTTGTGTTTCTATTGTCACTCAGCTCATATTCCTCCATAATGTTGTGTTTAATTCACTGTACATGACGGACAATGCACAGAGGGCTGGAGGTCTGATTGTGTAACTCATTAAGGTCCCAACAACAAAAACAATCACCAATAAATCAATCGAGCCATGCGCAAAGGAATAATAATGCATCACACCGACATAAATACTGGGTGTGTTATGTGCAGGATTGAAGTAGTTCAAGTAAATAACGTCTGTGTTTCTGTTAATGACAGAAAAGGTACAGAGCAGCCTTTTCTCGCATCGTGCCAATTAGTGTAATGAGAGATCTGGGCGTTAATTAGCGGTGACACCGTGTTAGCAGGTCGGGGCCGTGAGCAGCCATCACCGGGGACTCACCTGCAGCTGTGTCCGCAGTCCCGGTTCTTCAGCTGGATCCCCGCGGTGAAGACGGGAAGCCTCGGAGCAACATCGCTGTCAGTGAGAGGTGTATTTTCACAGCGTTGGTGGAGGTGGAGGAGGAGGTGGTGGTGGAGGAGGTGGTGGTGGTGGTGGAGCGATGTCCGTCCTCTTGTCTCCCCACACGCAGCGTTCATTCCCCGGTGTGTTTCCGCCTGTCGGTGCCCGCTGCTGCGGACGGATGTCACCGCTGCACCTCCATCGTCCGACACACACACATACACGCGGACGTCCTGCTTCAGCTTCGGTGTGTGTGTTACCGGTGTGCCGGTGGTGATGTACCCAGGTTAGCAGTTACATCAGAAGGCAAGGGGACATCCTTCTGCGGGGCAACACGGGGGAAAGGCGCCCCCCAGCGGTGCACCGCCTCCTGCAGGGGTTAAAGAATGTCATCATCAAATTCCTGCTGAGAGATGGTTTTAATCAGGAGGTGGAGGAGGGACTCAGCTTTTATATAGTGACAACACCACAGTCAAAGTCAAAGTCCTGCACAGAGACCGGGAGGTTTACTGACCCGGAACCAGAACTTTGTACCAGAAGACTGTCTCTCCTGTTTAAAGTCAATCACATGATCACAAAGACGCACAACACCAACAAAGAGACACACAAAAAGACTGAAAACAAACAAACAAACAACAAGATGTAACACAACCAGAGAGAGATGAGACAGACACAAAACAACCACAAAGTAAAGCAAAAGTAGAGATTTAAAACAACTGTAAATAAATGCAAAATGGATAAAAAGAGACTTGAAACAACCACAGAGATGCAAACTGAGCACAAAGCAAACTGAGTCAAAAAAGGACATAAAACAAAAACAGAAAGATGAAACACCAGAGACACAAAACAACTGCAATGAGAATTAAAATGGATTAAAAGTTTCTCCAGGAAACTGACTGATGTAAATGATTCATGTGTGAAGTCAGATCAGATCAGCCTTTGTGCATCGTCTATAACATCAATATGTTTTACCTCACTTCACAGACTGTTGTACATCTCCCAGTAAAAAGGTCGATGGTAAAATGAAATGGATCTTATTGTTTTATATCATTCAGACAGTATGTCGTCCAGCTACAACAGCAAGTGGTAAAACAACAGATTGTCCAGGAACGTATTAAATGTAGTAACATTAAAAATTCATTCAAATGTAAAACAGGAATCACATAAATCATCCAGAGGAAACAGTTTTATCATAGCTATCGGTTTGTTTCTGATCCTGGAGAAGGGTTTCTGAAGTGCAGGCACTAAACTCTTTTAGATAAAATCAAAAGTATTTTAAATGCAATTCAAACATCGACTTTTCTCGTGTGAAAATGTTCTGATCTAATCTAAAAAAAATATGTTTGTATTAAAATTTTCAAGCAAAACCCATTTATTTATGTGTCAGACATGTTTTGTCTCGGTGCTCTGTGTTCTACCACAGGAACACATTAACTAGTCTGTCATGAAGAGGAATAACAGAGAAGCAACACTTCCAGTTATAAAAAGAAAAGCTTCATTTATTGTGCAACAACAACATTATAGTTCCAGTGAAGTCCATGTCATTGTAGGAAAACTGTGCAGCAAAAGGAAGCAGTGCAAGAAACTCCGTGCTCAAGCGTCGCGCGAGGAGAAACAACCGACCGAGGATTTGACACTGTGAGAAATGTGTGTGTGTGTGTGTGTGTGTGTATGTGTGTGTGTGTGTGTGTGTGCTGAAAAACTGTGCTGGTTTGGATTTTACAAGTGGCTCTAGTCCGGAGGGTTCAGTCCTGTAGCAAATTTAAAATATGCAGCAAAAAGTGACGAGCAGTGACGGAAAGTAATCGAAGAAAAAAAGGCGATTAGATTCAAGTAAACAAATATTTTCCTTCAAGTTCGATGATTTGGCTGAAAACGAAAAGTAAAAACCTACAAATAAGAGAAAAAAATTTTTAAAAAATGCAACGAAATTACAATCTCTGAAGTATAAAAACATTAAATAAATAAACTTTATGCCAAATTTCCATCAACACAAGAACAGAAAATGGCAGTGATATTCCCCAAATGGATGAATGTCTCTGCTGGAAAGTCTTTTTAAACACAGCTGATTTAAAAATCTACACCTGAATATGGCGAGTAAAACATATCATATTAATATTTCTGAGTGACTAAAAAAGTAAACGACTTTACAAATCTGTGTGTTACTAAAAATATACTCCAAAAATTGCAATATCTTTCCGACATATAAAAAATATCCCCGAGTAATAATGAATACGTATAAAAACCGGTGGCGAGGAGAGTCGCTGTACAGATGGGTTTATGGCACAGAGAGAGAGACTGAAGGACAATCAGTGCTGTGTATAAAAACCAAGACACTAAGTCGTAGCATCTACACTGTAATGTAAAAAGACAGACATTGCTATATGTTGGCAGAGGAGCGGAGGACGTGGAATCTCTTCAGAGTCATGCGGATGGATCCCAGCTCGCGATTCAGTCTCTCCAGACGATTCTCTAAGGCCACCTGCGGACAGGAAGTGAGGCAGGGAGTTTATTCACCTTCGTAATCGATTAACAGTCGAACTCAGTCATCGATCAAAACATGTCAAACACACTCCAGGTTCCAGCTTCTCGAAAACGCGGGGTGTGAAGGAATTTCTCTCTCTCTCTCACACTCCCGAGAGTTGGGCTCATAAAGACGTGTTAAGACGACGGTTCTGGTTTGCGGAGCATAAAAACAAGCAGCTCGTTCTCGGCCACGGCGGCTGAACACGACTTCCCTGAGCTGTCGGGTTCCTCCAGGAGTCTTTCTCAAAGACGGATTTGACTGTGTCTTAGATTCATGACAATCAGTCTGGACTCATCTGGTGCACAAAGCAGTTTAGTTCTTGACTATGTGAAGCCGGACTGTGGTACGATGAATTCTGGGTAAATTAATTAATTTTTTTTTTTTTTTTAAATGGCCGACAGAGGAACTGCTTCCCACCGCAGAAGGTGCTTGTCTTTTGGAAGAATCGGTTTTGAATCTATTAGTTTCTCGTTACTTTTACGTACTCACGTTTATTTTCTATCCTTACAACGTTGTGATATTCTAACATACTCAGGTGGAGGCTTTATTCTTGCTTATAGCCTGTATGCTATTTGTTTTCTTTGTCATTCTCTATGTATTTTAAATTGTGCAAAATAAACTAAACTAATATACAAACTTTATGCTTGTGGAAAAAAAAAAAAAAAGTTGAAATTTGACCGTCACAGAGGTCGAATCTGAAACGCTTCCATGTCTAAAAATAAACTTGACGGTTTACAGAAAGTTTCATGCTTCAGACATTAAATGCACAATAATAACAGTGTCCAGATGGAGACACTTACTATCCTCTGTAGCTATGGAAACCAAGGTCTCATAGATGAGGATGCAGGGAAAGGAATAACTTAAGAGAGAACAGCCCGAATCTACTTCTGCTGAAGGACGAGCGAAGTAGAGCAAAGAACAGGACACATGTAATATTAATCAGGTCAGAACATGTGACACTCCGGTGACCAATAGCGTCTTCACACATATAGTTCAGCCTTATTTGGGGAAGGTACAGAAGTGTTGTGACCGTGTGATGCTTAGGGAATGACGTGTGTATAATTACACGTGTTCAGCTGTACAAGGTTTCGTGTCGGAGCGACTGACATCACGAGCGACGCTGCTGGCATCGCTAGAAATTAACTATTATAAAAACTATTAATTAATTATCAAAATTAGTGCAGATACATCTTTAAAATAAAATCTCCAAATCAAGTAATCGTTCTGGCCGTGTAACGGGAGGAAATTTAATTAAACACTACTGTATTTAAAAAGAAAAAAAAGTTAATTAATTGATGATCGTTTCCTCTATAAAATGTCAGGAAATAATTAAAAATGCTCGTCATAATTTCCCAGAATTCAAGGCGACGTCTTCACTTTGCTTTAAAACAAGGGCGAGCAGCAAATCGTCACGTTAGAAGCTGGAACAAGAGGAAGGTTGATGGTTTTTTTCTGGGAAGATGATTTGAATAATTTATCATCAAACCATTAAGTTCTGATTCAAAACCAAACAACGTGATGAAAGTTACATCAACATGATCAATATCTGAACGCTCTCACCTCATCTAACCTGGTCTGCAGACTCACTCTGCTGCCAGCTCCAGGCATCCGGCTCAGAGCTGCCTCAATCTGACACACACACACACACACACACACACACACACACACACACACACACACACACACACACACAGGTTAATAATTAATTAACAAAAATAATTATATTGATGAAACAACCGACACATGACCGCGTGACCCAGATTCACTGGACTCATTAGATTAGTTGGATGGGTAATGGTGTGTCTGTGTGTGTGTCTGTGTGTGTGTGTCTGTGTGTGTGTGTGTGTGTGTGTGTGTGTCTGTGTGTGTGTGTGTTCCTATAGGAGCAGGACAGAGTGAGGGGGAGGGGCAGAAAGGAGGTTGTGGATTTGAACTTTCTAAAAATAGACGTCATTTAGCAGCAGAATAAAAACACTCAGGTCCAGTTTACATAAGAGATCAGGTGGATTAGAGTCGTTCTGTCGAGGCCTGTGTGTCACAGACAAAGTGTGCCACTACACACAGCCCCTCTAGTACATTTCCTCTGCTGTGTTGATAAATAAATAAATAAATAAATAAATAAATAAATAAATCCGGGTCCTGGTCGACGAGTGGAAAGCGAGTGTGTGTCCTTCGCCGTGAGGAGACGCTCACCTGCAGCTTCTCCTGCGTCAGCTCGTCAAACAGTTTCTCAGCCTCGGCCAGAGAGTGGAGTTTGTCCAGGAAGAGCGGGGCCGAGTCCTCAAAGCAGTCCTGCAGCTCAGATCCACTACAGGCTCCCTGCTCCTCCCAGCCCAGCTGGGAGGTTCCATCAAGAGGGTTCACGCTGCCGGAGGAGGCCGGCTGATGAAGGTCTGAGGAAGAGGAAGACGTGATCCCATTTATTCCTTCTGAAGAGACGACGTTTACACTCACTGGCTACACCTTTTTCTTCAGTACACAACGGATATATAAGAATAATTTGGCTGTTTAATGCTAAAACAAGGTTTCAGTAAATATCAGGATCAACTGTAAAGAAGCAGAAAATCGCTTAAAAGTTCTTCTAATACTGGTGCTCTACTGTTTTTTTAAGTCTGTATATAAAAGAAAACGTTCTCACAGTATTAAGAATTACTCACACTGCTCTGGTGTTAACTTTAATATTAAAACCACAAACAAAATCAGGTCAAACCTCAGAGACAAAGACCTGAGCTCAAACCCACTTTAAAACCAGGGACAAACTCTGACCCGAGGCGTCTTCACTTTAACTTAGATGTTTGTTTTTCTTTAAATATCTATTAGACGTTTTACCGTCTTCTCTGTCTGCTGACGTGAACTGGAGCCTCTTCCTGGGGCTGCTGCTGTGGAATGAGTGACGTCTCTGGTCAACCTGTTCGTCAAACCTGCAGACGACACACACAAAGAGATTTTATATTCACTCCAACAGCTGTAACGCAGCAGATCCCGTGTCAGCCTCATCACCGAACCGCTGAACACTTCCTCTCTTTGTCTTTGAGGCTTGTTGGACTGAGATCTTGAATTTTTAACGAGCCGTGAGTTCCTGCGAGACCCACTCTGCTTTATCTTGTCTGCGGTTATTATCGGTACTTTTTAGGCCTGAGCCTCTTTAAAAGCAACAGCTGTGGAGGAGAAGCTCAGACGTGACGGTCGTGATCAGTGTCAGACCGTCACTGTGACTCACCCTGAAGGTTGTTGTCATTAAGAAGTTTCCCCCAAGGACACCACACCTCAACCTGGGACTTTAAATTCCTGCGGCAGCACCTGTGAAGGCGCCAACAAGATGATGTGCGTTTCTCACCTCTTGACCAGGTGCTCCTCTCTTGGCATCGAGTGACCGAAAGCGGTGGAGTAGTTCTCCGTGGGGCAGCGTTTAGGGCTGGACTTGGCAGAGAGAGGCATGAGTAAAGTCTCTCTCTTTGCTGCATGGAAGAGAGAACAGCTCAGCTTTAATTAAAACCTTAATACAGCAACACAGCGTTAATTAGAAACTGCTTTCTCCAGAGGGTTTTTAGCGACCCATTAAAATGTAGAAAGATGTGACAGTCCTCTGTACAATATCTGTGGAACCTCGTGTGTGTTTATTGTTTTCATTTTGTTCCGTCTCCATTGTTTTCTGTGATGACACAATGTTAAAATAACAATTTGGTGATCTGGGCCGTCCGTCCCACTTCATTCGACAAAGAGGACGAAGAAGAAGAGGAGGTTTCATGTTGTTTCACTGTGGACGGACGACTCTACGAAAATGACGAAAATGTTTAAACACGAAAAATATCATTTAAAAAAGTGGATGACTTAATTTAAACGCAGTCCATGTCGCTGTACGTAAGTTTGTCATGTTATTCTGTTGGTTAAGACTAAGACTGGGAGTGTGTGGAAGGACTGGGAGTGTGTGTGGAGGGACTGGGAGTGTGTGGAAGGACTGGGAGGGTGTGGAAGGACTGGGAGGGTGTGGAAGGACTGGGAGGGTGTGGAAGGACTGGGAGGGTGTGGAAGGACTGGGAGGGTGTGGAAGGACTGGGAGGGTGTGGAAGGACTGGGAGGGTGTGGAAGGACTGGGAGGGTGTGGAAGGACTGGGAGGGTGTGGAAGGACTGGGAGGGTGTGGAAGGACTGGGAGGGTGTGGAAGGACTGGGAGGGTGTGGAAGGACTGGGAGGGTGTGGAAGGACTGGGAGGGTGTGGAAGGACTGGGAGGGTGTGGAAGGACTGGGAGGGTGTGGAAGGACTGGGAGGGTGTGGAAGGACTGGGAGTGTGTGTGGAAGGACTGGGAGCACGTACTGGGTGTAGTTGTGGGTATGTTTCGATGTGCTGGAGGAGGCAGTGAGGAGGATCTGTGGCCCTCTGGAGACAGACTCCTCTGGGCCCTCAGCAGAGCTGCAGCTCTTTCCGCTCCACTGTGACTTCTCGCTCCTGCTGCTGCTGCTGCTGCTGCTGCTGCTCCTCCTCCTCCTCCTCTTTCTCCTCGCTCGGCTCCGACCGCCGCTCCTCCAGGTTTAACCGCCTCTCTTTCTGCCTGGAGCCCGACTCGCTCCTGAATCACCTCTTTGTGCCTCCGCTCCACAAAACCCACGGTGGTCCTCTGATTGCCGACCCCTGCCGAGACAAACATACCGATTCAAAAACACGACTGGCACAAACACCGACTTGTTCTGTGTGTGCGGTTTGTTTCATCCGCCTGTAATGAATCAACAAACAGAACAGTTAACTAATCTGTAACTGGCCAGTCTCTGTTTAAAGGAAACTGCGTCCGCGTCGATACTAACGAACATCTCCGGCTTTGCTGTCATTGACCTCAGAGCACGTTGAATAGTTTCCTGATTTTGCTCCCAGTCACTTCACAACAAGGTCTAAAATACTGCAAAACTGATTGCAGCCATTGTTCCCTTCCTCTCCTGCTGGTGCGGCTGAATCCAAACGTCCACCATGATGTCTGGTCTGCGAGGGGACAATACGCGCTTGAGAACTCCCCGATTTCCATCGATATAAACAAATATACATCGATAGTTCCTGATCCTGTCACCCATCTGTAAACATGTCTGAACTGCTCTCATCAGCATCAGTTATTAGCTGGATGAAAAACCAACCGGAACAACGGAAACAGACACAACCACGTCTGTGTGTTCTGGAGTATATAAGCTTCGGCTGCCTACTGACCTCTCTGCTCCTCGCCACAGTCACACCACGTTTTTTTGGGTTTGGTCACGTTGTCCTAGTTTCAGTCCTTACGATTAGTTCTGCACCTTACATCACCTGCACTCACATACCTCGCTCACGCACACCACACGCTACTGACTTTACCGATTTCCACACCTCGTACCCAGAACATTCAACTTGGCGTCTTGATTTGCTTTAATAAAAACATTCTTTTGTTCATCTTTACCACGGTGTGTCTCCGTTTTTTTTGTTGTGGCCACTTGAGTCAGGGTCATAAGACGTGTAAACATAGACCGGTTCTGGTTATGATGTTTGTGATGATTCGTCAAACGCAGTCTGCACTCGGAAGCCTACTCCACAAAAATAAATCTGCCTGACGTCCCTCGTGGACGTTGGAGAGCGCCTCAGCCCTCGAGGACTTCGCAGGAATGTGTGTGTTACGTTTGGAAGTGTGGATTCAGCCCGTCTCACTCATTCTGATAGTTCATCTCAATTTTCCAAAGGCAGAAATCTACTCTGTGTTCAGGTAAGGCGTGAGGGGAAATGAGACAGACGTTTTTAGTTTTAAAACTGAGTGCTGTGAGCGAGTGTTCGTCATACTGTGGGTGGTGGAGCTGTTCTTACAGGGGGCCCGGCTCTCGGTGGCTCTGGTCTCCTCCAGCTCTATCAGGGCCCTCATCATGGGCGTCAGGGCGCAGGACGCGTCTCTCCGAGCGGCCTCCCGCTGGCTCTGCTCCTGGTGTCTGGTCTGAGGCAGAGACTGCTCACACTCTGGAGGAGAGGCACACCTGCGGGACAGGATCGCAACCAATCACCGAAGATCTTCACTAACTTTTGGCTGGGGGCAAATCCACGGGGGTAAAGACTCACCTCCAGCTCCCACCGGCTGAGGAGGTGTCCGCGGAGCTTCCAGGTCCTGACGACTGATCGCTTATTGTGTACAGTGACCTCTTGTGCATACTCGACTGGTTAGTTTGAGGGAACTGGGATTTTCTGCCGCCGTTCAGCTGGTCGGACGCAGGACAGGGCGACTTCCTGCGGGTGACGTCTGGATCTACTTTGCATTTACTGGGTGACAGCAGCAGGTCGGGATGGTGGAAAAGACTGTGGACACGTCAAGAGGAAATTCAGTATTTAGCAGCTGCTAGGAACTTCCAACACACACAGATCTTATGATAACAACAAGAGATTAATATCATGATGCACTGATACAGTGTGTGAGAGGAGCAAGAAGCAAGATTTTATATATTATCAGAGCTTTTAAATTAATCTGATGGCAAAGTGCTGCAGCCTGTGCGTCGCTTTCCTTCTGTTTCACGTGCGTCTCTGGATACCTGATGCTGCAGGAGTCAGAAATATTAAAACATTAAAAAACACAACAGTGGCGGGAAGTTTTTTCAGCGCTTACCCTGCTCCAGAGGGTTGAGTGTTACTGTGGGAAGCGTAACGGGCTCTGGCCTGGTTCTCATGCTCCAGCTGCTTCACCTGAGACTCCAGTTTGGAGATTACTCTGAGGCGACACACACACACACACACACACACACACACACACACACACACATTAAAACTAAGGGTCAGATATACTGATACAGATCTCACGGATCTTTGGAAAGATACAATCGTTTAAAAAAAAAAAGAAATAATAGTGTTTTGGGAAACGATGACGTCAGTCTGTGTGTTTAAAGGATCCTGAGGAATTCCTTCTTCATGTGACACATAACTCAATCAGCCTCGGTGAACGTCTTTCCCTCCACACACAGGAGGAACATGACCCAGAGCCGACCTTCATCTCAACACTTTTGTCTCCTGCGAGTGATAAAATCCTTCTGCTGCCACGATCGGCCTCTAACGCGCCGCTCCTGTTTTAGTTTGACAATCTTTAAACGTCTCTCGGAGGTTTTCTTGCTCTCGCTACGTGACTTCATTAGAGCCGTAAAACAGGGAAGTGTTCTCGCATATCTTACTTTATTTTACAACCTTTTCCGTTTTGATGGTCTGACATCTACTTAGTGTTGTGGACGGATCCTCATGTCTCTACACTTTTCCCGGACTTATGTGTCTTAGCTGTTGTGCTGTTCTTTGACTAAAGAGATTCTTACTCTGACATCCTCCAGTGAATTTCGATAAACTGCTGCTTGCACATTGTAGTAACTTCTTTCCTAGTTTCCTTCTTTTCCCACGGCCACTCTCAGGTGTCTGGAACTCATCTTCTCTTTCTCCTGGCTGCCTTCCCTCCAGGTGAGGCGTTTCACTGCGACACCACATATCGACGCTGCGCGAGCTGCAGTTTTGCTATCTGCCTGCAAATCCGCTGAATCGACTCCACACACTTCATCAATGCCGAGTCCATGCGCTGCCTCTGTCGGTGCCAATTTGCAGGCAGAGCTGATCCTGCGGAGGAAAAGTTGCTGCGTGGCCTCGGCATCATCTATTCCCAACAGCACAGAGACCATCGTCGGGCTCTATTGATGAACTCTCTTTTTCTCCATCTGTCCACTCTCCTCTCCGCTGCAGCCTTTTTACGAGATTGCCTGAGCCGGCCAATGACAATGTGACAGTGATGGATCTGAAGCCAATAATCAAACTACAGCTATGATGTCACCTCTCTGCTGTGAGCTCTCCATGCGAACACAGTAACTCAGGAAGACGCTGTTGACTGTGGCGCTCTCAGTTCGTGTCTGTTAGTGTGAAGCTGTGGTAACCGAGTAGTTTAACACTTTAGGAAACTCATTATCTTTCTGTGGGGTAACTATGAAGCTGTGGCCAGGGAGCTGTTAACTTAGCTTAGCATAAAGACTGGAAACAGGGGGAAACGGCTAGCCTGGCTGCAGCACATAAAACCCACACTTTTGTGTTTTTGTGCAGATTAAATACATGAGACATGACGTGTTAATAACTGAGCTTTACAGGAGCTGGTAGGCATCTTATTTCTTTTTTTTAATCTCTAGACAAAGCCACGCTAGCTGTTTACCCCTGCTTTTAGTCTTTACGCTAAGCTAAGCTAAGCTAAGCTAACCATCTCCTGGCTCCAGCTTCACATTCACCAAACAGACAACAGAGCAGTTTCCATCCTCTCATTTAAAATTCAGCAAGAAAGAGGATAAATGTGAAACTATTCTTTTTAAGGCCGTGACGCTCAGACAACTGCATGAACATAAAAAAGTGTTTTTATTAGTGTCTTGACTGTCGTTAGACACCAGAAACTGTTTCACACAGGACTGACTGTAAGCAGAGCAGCAATAGAAAAGAAAAAGGTGTTTCTATGTTTCTTCTATTTTCACCGGAATAGAAGAACAAGAACTAAAAATTAGAAGAAGAATTTATAAAATTAAATATCGTTGCATCCACTCACCTCTTCAGCTCAGATATCTGATCGTTGGCATCGACCAGTTTGTTCTCTGCTGACACCAGGTTGTTCTGCAGAGACAAAGATTGTTACGACGTATTGAGAAGTTGTTTTTGTTTTTTATCACGTATTTCAATGATAATCAAATAATCAAACCACATGTTGAACGTAAATTCCAGTGAGAGAACCAGCACCTTCGCTCCCTCGTGCTCCTTCATCAGAGAGTCGTATTCTCCGAGCAGCTGAGGAAACAAAACAACAGAGGCCTTAATGACGAAGGTGAACGTTAAACAGTTACTGTTTGTTAGCTGGAATGAACTGGGATCATTGTTATGTAATTTAACTTGAGGCTGTAACCGTGCCACATGACTTCACAACAAACAACTATTCTCAGAAACCAAAACCAACCTGCTAAACCAACATTGCAGCATTTGTTTGTTATTTTTTTACCAGCTGCTAAAAGTTCAGTATTAATAAGCAGCATCAGGCCTTGTGTTCTGAGGTTCTGTCCTTTATCAATCTTTTTAATTAAAGCTTTGTGAAAGGTAATAATATTCAACGTTACTTTGTCCAATGTTTCAAAACAACATCGCAACCAAAAGTGCAGAAAATCTACTTTGAGAAAATGAGACTGAATCAATCTTTGGTAACGTCAACGAAACACAAACGTCATTATCATCAAGTATGAATCAGTCATGTCTAGCCAATACCTGATCTGATTAATAAGATCAATATCGGAGCAGAAACCAATCAGGTGGAGCCGATTGGTGCATTCAATTAGACAAAACATTCCTCTTACAAATGAATCCCCAAAATAAAGATAAACAGATATTTCATGATCCCCTGTACACATCATCTAGATGATTCCAGTGCAGGTGAAATCATTTTAAAGCACAGATTATGGAGCAATCAATAATAAAGATTTGATATAAAAAAAAAAAACAAAGTAATGATAATAAGGAGGTTGCGGTGCAGAAGACGACTCAAGACTCACATCCTGCAGCATCCTGTACTCCCTCTCCCTCCGCGCCTCCCTCTCGTCTGCCTCCCTGCAGGCTTTCTGCGCCGCCTCCTCCAGCTGCCGGACGCGGCTCTTCAGACGTGCTGCCTGGGCGTCCTTCTCTTTGCCCGAGCGTTTGCTTTCTTCCAATCGCTGCTGCAAAGATTTCACAGTCGCACCCGCCACAGCGTACCGCTCCGGCCATTCTGCCTGCCGACCAAAAAGTCACACACAGAGATCAAGGGAATGGGGTGATGGTTAAATATTAGTTGAATTCATATGATTAACGTCACACTAACTAACATTATCACAATTTAAAATCAAAAACAGTGAGCTGAGGAAAAGGCCCTTGATGAACAGGCTGATTAAAAATCTACATCAACCTCATGAAAGTTCAGGTTTCAGACACAAGATGTGACTTCATCGATGTCCACGTTCTAACGGTTCTTAGGTTACCAAATATTAATCCATCATCATGAGCTTCATTAAGGATCCCTTAATTAGACTCCATGCAAGTATTCCTACTGGATTAATTACAGTGTCTGCAGATGGTGTTTGATGATTCTAAGACTCTTTTGAAGAACAAATATAAAGAAATTTAAGAACAAACTTTGGAACGAAACATGACGGAAGGTCACAACATGAGAGGGGCCGACTTAAAGTATAAAGTATTTAATCAGCGACATTATTTTCTATTAATTTGACCCATTACTCAGAAAAAAAAAGTTCTAGGTTGAAATTAAGACTTCATAAATTCAAATCCGACAGTTTAATGACTTTAAAGATCTATGAACTGAATTTAAGGCATTTTACAGCTTCTTCGGGACCCAGAGACACTGAAGCATTGGTCTGAATTTCAGCCATTTTATGTTTTCATAAATAACAAGACGTTTAAATAACAGAATATTTTTTGCTTTATTAACTGAATTAAACTGAAAAAAGAAAATTAGAGGAATGATACCAGTTTTTTCTCCAGCGAGCTGTTTGTTGCCTCTAGTTCTTGAATACGGCTGGTGGCTTCAGCCAGAGCTTTTTCCAGATGTTTGCACCTGTGGATAAACAAACATCAACACAGGGTTAAAAAAACGAAAATACAATGGACTGACACAGAGGTGTAACATCAGGCCGGGGGAACGTGGAGGGCTACAAGACTTAATTCATGTCTAGACATTCAACAACTGAATATGAGTCATGATCATTTGTAGATTCAAAAATCAAGTTAATACCTCAGAATATTTATTTATGTATTATTTTAGTCCAATTTCACCATTTTCCTGTTTAATTTCCTGGAATTTGCTGCGTTTGTTCAGCTGTCACAAACTTTATTGATTTTGTATTAGGCTGTATTGTCTTATTTATTTATGTTTTGAATGAAAATGTGACTTAAAAAAAGAAAAGAAATACAATAAATAAGTAATATACAGTGAGGACAAACCTGTCTGTGAGGGCCTGGTTGCTCTTCTCTAAGTCCTGGGGCAGATCTCTGAGTTTGAGTTTGTCTCTCAGGATCTGGATCTCAGACTCATAATACGCTTTCAGGTCGGCCACATGTCGAGAGTGTTTCTCTCTCAGGTTCTGCCGCAGTCTGACGGCAACAGAGAAAAGAGGAAATTAATGATTCTGTTGAAGGTGGAAGATTTATGTGTGTAATCATTAAGCCTGATGAGATACCACACAACGGCAACGCGTACAAAGCAGCGGCAAAAACACTGAGTAAACAAGATGCTGAATGAAACACGATGGAGGAAGAAACACTGAGCAGTGTGAGTTCAGCACCACCGAGGACAGACTTTTACTTTTTGAGATTTTTATTTACTTTCTTCCTCTTTGTTTTACTGTTTTTAGTTTGTTATATAAGTTTATTTTCGATCAGGCATGAGGAGTCCAGTGTGACGCTACACTCACAGAGAAAGGACAACAGGATCCTCCAGTGATGAAGCCCTCTCCATGTGCGGACTGACTGTGGGCCGCAGAGTCGCACCAGAGGCCGAACGAGGCTTCAGGGTGCTGGTGTGGGTGTGACTGCCCTCCTCCTCGCTGGCTAAGGGGGCACTGGCTCTGCGCTGCTGGCTGGCTGTGAGGTTCTTATCCTGGGAGGTAGACAGGGCCGCCTGGGATGCGTTTCCCCACAAGCGCTGCACCTTGGACGGGGAAGGTCCGGCAACGGAAACACTGGAGGTGTCGGAGATGCAGTCTGTATCTCCAGGGTTGGGACTGCCCTCCGCCATGCTGTCAGGGGTCACGGGGGTCTCGACTCTGGGGTAGAGGTGGGGCTGAGCTGCAAACGAAGGGCTGCTGAAGCGCGAAGGTGAAGTGAAGCCCGAGGTGCGATCAGACGGCCGCATGTTCGCCGCCGGGTCCAAGGTCAACACCTGAGGCGCACAGAGGGAGAGTTCAGGTTAGACGCAGCTGAGGACTAAAGAAATGATAAATTATTATTGTGGTTGTTGTTATTAAGAAAGTTAATCTGACTGATAATTAATATTAACATTAATATGAAAAATATAGAGAAAAAAGGCACAGAAGGCATTTTCATATATCTATTTGAATAATTAATATATGAATAATAATTTCTACAGCAGGTTAATTGTGTGCACACATTTCTTATTATTCATTAACTCAATTTAATTTCCAATTTCAATAATGAATAATTCAACAGGTGGGGGGGGGGGGTATGAAATTTAGATCAGATCATCAAGTTAACAGTCAGGTGTATTTCCTGGTTCTTCTGGCTCATAATATCTTTAGTTTACAACAGTTCTCTAGTAATTCCCCAGATTCTTGCTGCATATGAACATCTGTAAAATAAATGATCTACAAAATCCGGACATTTAAAAGCTGATGAGATATACTGTATATTATGCACAATTCTGTAGTGTACCTCTGTTAAAGCTGAGGACTAAACAGATGAAATACCTGCGGTGACGAAGGAGTGGACGTAACAGAGCCTTCGCAGTCTGAGCGTCTACTGTCTGTCCTCTGCTTGTTCTGATAGATCTCTCTGAGAGACAGTCCACGCTCCGGAGACGGAGCCTACAACAGAGACGGGGAGTTAACACAAGCCAGCAGCTAAATGCAGCAGACATGTTGTCAGTGCATCTCCCTCAAACTCAAACTGGTTTCATGTCTTTTTCTACTCAAACACATTTTTGGGCTGGTGGGAGATGTGATAGTCACCCCTGGTTCTGCACTCACATCTTCTGGGATTGTCCACAGATAACAAGACGGTGACAAGACAGTGGATCTGTGCTACCGGGTGCAGTGGGGCCCTAAAGTCTGAAACTACCTTCCTGTTCAAGTGAAGTGGTCTCAGGCGTTTGGTACATGTAAGGGAAATTATTAAGGTAAGTTTACAAATGAAAGTGGATTTCTTCTTGGACAGACGGACTCTAGTCACCTCAGATCCTGAAGGACGTCTGTCCCCAGAAAAACCTTTAAAGATTATTACCATAACTCATTTGTTTACAGTGTTGTAGACACAGTGTTGTACCTTTTGTATTTAATTTATGTTAAGTATGCATGCACACACTGTATGTGCATGCACTGTATATGCAAAGGCAATATGTGAAAGTCTATTAGTATTTCCATGTGGGGCTCTGCACAGGAGAAGAAGGCTGCACACCAGAATACATATATCTGTTCCTCCGTTTTATCTATTTGACCTTATCTGGAGTTTTTTTCCTCTTAGGATTTCACTTTATAAGGGATAAATGGTGAGTCTTGTAGTCAGGGAATGTTAATGTTGATGATTTTGTTTTTCAGTGAGTGTTAAATAAGAAATCATTAAGTTTAATAAGTAAATACATTTTAAAAGACAGTTTGGGACAGTAAAAGTAGGAAGTGAAATCTGGAATCCACAACGTGGTCTAAAGAAATGTACCACTGATGAGGCAGAAGGGATTGTGGGACATCCCGCCATCAGACTCAAGAGTCACTGAGAACTGTGGCGTTTCACTCACCGGACTGATGGACGTCTCTTGCAGGAGGTAAGCGCTGCTGTCGAAGCTGTCCGGTAACGGGCGATACAGCTCGCTCTCATTCAGACGCCAGTAAGTGAGGCCTGAGACGCACAGAAGAACGCGGCGTGATTTAATGCTTTTTCTACTTGTTTTCCTTTAATTCAAAAAGTGTCATTTAAATAAAATGAGCTGTGAAAGTCAAAAATACAGCAGGAAACAAACTATGAGACAAAACATATTATAATTCACTGACAGTTGTCTCTTTTCATGGATATAACAACTTAAAACTGCTGCTGTGGAGACAGACTACGGATTTACCATAACTACCAAACACAGACATCACATTTCATGACATAAATAAATGAATCTCTTTCCATTTCCTCATAATAAAATCCCTCGCTGGTGTAACAGTGCCATCATACTGTCACTTGTTGTAACTGCAACAAGCTTCATCTCATAAAAACTGTAATATAATGCATTGTTTATTACATCACAGTCATGATTTCTTTACACTGTTGAATCCCTATTGTTCTGTGTTTTGTCTGAGTCGGTGAACTGTTACCTGATGCCTCAGACATCAGACTGTCACTCCTCCTCAGGGGAAAAGTGCTGGACGACGGCCCGGCCGGTCGATGCTGAAACCCAATAGAGATGAGTGGATTAGACTCAGCAGCAGGATCGAAATCAAGACAACCACAACAGACATATGCACCAAAAACAAAAACACTCCAGATGCAAGGCAGCGATTAACACGAGGTAATTTTATTATTTCTTTTTTACTATCCCTGCAAAATCTTATCTGTTGCACAGGAGCAGCTGTTGCCACTCGGTGAGTCGTACCTGGTCCTGGGAGTCTGTGCTCTCCAGGGGGTTTCGTCTGTGGGGTTCTCTGGGGCTGCGTGGCAGCTCCTGGTACTCTGGGATTTGGGACGAAGCTTGTCCTGCTTTGCTCTTCTTGGGCCTGAGTTTCTGCCTCTGGGCCCAGGAGGTCAAAGGCTGGCTGGTGCTGCCGACAGAAGAGGTCAGGGTCAGGAGTAAAATGACAATGTGACTAAATCTGAGGAGGGTTTCTGCAGGTTAGAGTTCAATTCAAGACTTTTAAAGACATATCTATTACTAAATACAGAACAAACAACTCAGACATACCCAGAGATTTTCTGCTGGTAGACTAATGGGTTCAGATCCTCCACTCCAAGAGTCCTCTCATCGGAAAAATCCTGCTGGCATCCAATCACAGTCGTCTCTGTGGCTTCCTGGAAGTTAGAGGACCAGTGATGCTTCTCCCTTCCTTGACTACCATCCTCATCTTCGCCTGGAGACCCAGCAGGTTCCAGGCCTGTTTCCCAAGCAGACAGAGTCCCGTATCCACTGCTGAGCACGGTGGTCGCCCGCTCCTCCCCCTGGTTGGCGGTCTCCGATCTGTGGAGTGGAGGTGAAGGGGAGCTAAAAGGGGTATGTGCAGGGGCTGCCAGGCTGTCATTGTCACTGGGCACATTTTTGGGGACTGTGCAGTCACTGGAGATGAGGGGGAAAATATAGTCCTTTGTGTCAGTAGTAGTTTTGGTCACTGCAGTTGGAGAGAACTCTGTGTGTGGCTGGATGCTGGCCTGGCGGTTCTGGAGCTGAACCAGGGCCTTAATTTCATCCTGAATCAACTGGGGCAAAAAAAAAGAAAAAAGCACATCATTATTTCACTGGATACTTTAAAACAGCTCATGTGACAGGACATGACTAAATGCAGGCTCACCTGTATTTGGCACTGGTATTGTTCTTGCTGAGCGAGGATTTGCTCTTGGTATTGCTTCTCAACCAGCTGAAACAGATGCAGCCATCGGCCCTGCTCAGAGGAAAAAAAACAAAAACAGGAGGTTACGCGCCATCATTGCTCACAAACAGACACCGTCAATCTACTTAAACTTAAAGCCTCAAGCGGAAACATGACGTCTAATGTATGAACCACCTAAAGGCAAAAACAGGGAAGCTCACCCGGTGAGTCAGTGTGTCTACATGAACACAAGAAACCAGGTGACACAGGTAATCAGACAAAGCGTTTACATGCACTGTAGTGACCTGGTTACTGTAAATCTGCACATTCATGCAGCAGGAAAGTAATTACATTTCTCCCCCGGCCAACCTTACTTATCTTAAAGCCTCTTGTTTCTTCTCTTGGATGTCTGAGCGTCACTGTGCAGGATGATGGACGTGCAGAGTTTGACACTAGACTGCTGTTTTTCTCTGTGCTCACCTTAAAGTCTCAATTTGTCAGTTTCACAAACAGAATTTTGTGACACTGGAAATAATTTGGAGGCCACTCGCGGTTCAGTATGAAAAACAAGTGAGATGTGAAAACCCGAGCGCTTCCAGTAGGAGACATTTTGTGTCCAGCAGTTAAACTTTTGAAATGAACAATATTTGCATTATTCATAATGTCTGGATTTTAAATGAGGGAGAAGGAGCAGCTGTGATTTTATTCTTGTGGAAAAACAGACAAATTATTATTCCGAGCAGGAGTATTTTTGTGTCTTAAAATGTGTCTGGAGGGGAATTTTTCTGATACAACACACATTGAGATTTTATGTGAGTGTGTTTGTTTGTCGGAGGGCTGAGAGTACAGTGAGAGGACACTGTGGATTATACAGTCAAATGAGCTGCGGTGTAAACCAACTTATTTGGACCTCTCATCGGTTTCAGTTTTACTTGGACTTTGGATTACTTAGAACAGAAGGGTGTATCATCATGTGTAATGACATTTCATTTCACCCTGCTGTTGTGCTGTCACAGTCTTTGTCTTGCACATGCTCAAGTGTAAAAAGTCATTAAGAAATCCAGTTACAGCCAATTTATACTTAACGCATCCTAAGGGTCAACATGATGTGAAGTTCATTATCTGCATCTTATCCATGAGGGATATGATGCAGATAATGGACGTGGACTGGCTGTGTGTGAACATGTCCATGTACACAGACATGCAACAGAGAAAAAACAGAAGCCTGTGCACGGCCTATATCCTCCATATAACACGTGTATATGGCCAAAAAAATTTGCTTTCTCCAGAATGGAAATCAGGTTTCTCTGATCAATAAAACATTAGTTTCCTGGAGGAAGCCACTGTACCTTGGAGTGACTGAGTGAGTATGTGACGATGGTGATTTGCATCAAAACAAATCTAATGCCTGGGTTCCCCCTGCAGCTGAATAGTGAAGGCAAAAACGATATAACTGCAACATCCCCAGGTCAGTTCCAGTCAGGGACTTTTGTAGCATGCCAAACCCCCTCACCCCCCCACCCCCCACCCCACCCTGTCTGTCTCTTCACTGTCAACCAATAAATGTTGACAAAAAATCTCAAATTTTGTAATTTCTTTAATAAATTTGTCTGCACTGCATGTGTGTATTTGTGCAGGGTTGAGGGAAGCAGCTGTGCACCGCTACGACTCTGATGTAAACTCCCATCAGAGAGGGAGAGCTGATGTATAGAGCAACAATAATTGTCTCTTAATATTTTAATACCATAATCTACTTGATGGACATTTAAATAATCAAAGAAGACAAGTGTTTTCCTCAGGTATATGAACTAAAAAGCCTGGAGCCTGGTGAACTCTGCAGTGAAGTGCCTTTGTGTTGTAGCACATCAGAGTTGTCTGTTCCCTACAAATCACATCCTGTGTCTGAAAAGATCAGCTGTAGTGTGGCGCTGTGTGGGGTGTTGGGGTTTGTGTATGTGTGTGTTTGTGTGTGTGTGTGCAAGTGTGTGTGTGTGTGTGTGTCTTACTGTCAGGTGTGATCTGCACAAAAAATAAAAGTGACAGCCCAGAAATGAGGCTGCCAGCTGCCAAATGCAGCGCACAAGAACAACTGGCACAGCAGCTAACCACGACTTCACTTTCCACGTCATCAGCGTGCACTTATCATCTCATTTGCACATTGTACAATAAATCTCATCTTTCAGGCTCTGTGATCATCTCTCACCTCACAATCCTTCCAGATCTCAGGGTCCGTCTCTCCACTGCTCTGGATCTCCTGCACCAAAGCCCTCAGGGTCTCAAGAGAGCTCGGGTTGATGAATGGGAGGTTCTTCCCTTGTTCAAATGCTTCCTCTGTGCTCAGACACAAACTCCTGAGGTAAAAATCACATAATATTAAATCACATACAGTGTTTAAGTTGGATGCCACAAAATTATATAAAACAACGACCAAATTCATGTGTAAAAACAACAGTAGACACTTTAATGACAGAGAAAACATGTCTATTGATCAAAACTCCTCTCTCACCAAGGTCCAAGTAGCATCTCTCAGCCTGATTTTAAATACATAAATATATTCTACAACTAAACAAGACTGGACTCTTTATAGCATATTGTATCTCCCATGATTCTTTACATTTGACTGCTAGCAATTAGTGTAAAATGTTCTCCCACATGTAAAGGGTATTAGATTTGAAGAATTTTCCTGTGAAGTTCAGGGAAAATCATAAACATAGAACAGTTTGAATTAAATTTCATAGCATTAATACGTGGGAGAACATTTAAGTTCCCTTCTAGAGCTGAAATGATTTGTTTTTTTAATCGATTAGCCCATCTATTCCTGCTTCTCACATATTATTACGCACAAAATTTCGTAACGTTTCATAGACTAATTGACTAATTGCGATTAAAAAGGCATTAAATAATCAATAATGAAAATACTAGTAAGTTGCAGCCCTACTGCCCACAGTTTTATCAGCTAGTCTTTTTATTTTCCATATACAATAGTGTGTTCAGTGTGTTTACAGTCACTGCACCTGATCTTGTTGCATGCTGGTGTGATGTCCATGGGCCTGCTCTCCACAGTGCCTCCTGTGGTTTGGGAAGCTGTGTGTCTGTCCTCTGAGACGGCCAGCCCCGAGGCTGATGTCCCCTCAGAGGACACCAAAGAGGTCTCACTCTCCTTACCCCCATCCCCATCAGCACTGACATGGCAATGGCTCAAAGCCCCCGAGCTGGACACATCCTCAGAGATACTGTCATCTGTGGACATGTTTATGGGCCCATGCAGCGGGGGTCAGTCTGACAGCTGGAGACGAAGAGGAAGGAAACAAGAAGCAGTCAGCTGGGGCGGAGAGTAACCAAGTGCATTAACTCATGCAATGTTCCTAAATACAGTTTTGAGTAGTATTTTCATTTTCTACTACTTTATGCTTGTACTCCACAACATTTCAGAGAGAAATATTGTACTTATATTTATCTGACAGCTTCAGTTACTAGTTGCTTTACAGATTTTACATGCAGAACGTATGATGCATGCAATATAATGCATTGTAAATAACCAAACTACCCAACAATGTCAAATTTGAGCTTTAACAATTACATGGTTATCAAAAAATTAATCAGCAACTGTTTTGACTACCGACTATCACAGTGAACTGAAAGTTGAGGTTTGAGGTTTAAAAATCAAGACAAGGCGTCACTGTATGCTCTGGGTAACTGAGTTGTCTACTTTAAAACATTTACACTTATCAAACCTGGACATGATTAACAAGTAAACTCCAGAAGCTGTTTCAGATTTGTGAAACCTTTATTTTATTTGTGACAGAAAAAAAGTCATTGTTTTTCTTTTTTTTCCCCTAAATCTTTCCTAAAGCCTAAATCAGATCAGGTCCAGATCAAAAACCACTGTACCTAGACTTGACAAATCTGGTCTGGAGTAACATGGAGAACAAAAAGACTTAAGATTTAAGATCTCACTGTTTTTTTGTTTTTGTTTGTTTGTTTGTTTTTTTTTACTACTAGACCTCATCAGACCGGATCCGGATCAAAAACCACTGTACCTGGATTTGTCAAATCTGGACTGTTTAAAAAACACTTTCCGATTTGTATAACCTTTATTCTACTTATTGTTTACTTAGGTTTCCCTTAGCTGCCAATACCGATCTGTCATCAACATTCAACAGTTCACGAAACATAAACAAAATCAAAGATAAACACAAATATTCAAGCTAATGTGTCAACGATACGCATTAGCATCCTCCTCTCTGTCCTGCCTGTCAGCCATGACCTGTGCTTCCTGTGTGTGAGAGCCTGTCTGAACCGTAGACTCTAAATAATATTCAGAATATGATCTGAACTGTCCAGGTTTGATTTAATAGCCATTTAACTTCGCCAGCAAACAACAGAATCAACACAGCACAGACAGATAGCATTAGCCCTGCAGCGGTTTGGACCATTTAAAAACACCAGCTACGTTAGCTGCTTTTAGCTTCGGTGTCAGTCAGCGCCGTCAGATGCTGCAGACGGTTAAAGTTGCCTGCGAACTCCGCGGGAGCCTGGGTTGGTTAGTTATCTAGCTAACCTTACAGCTACTACTGCGACTCACAGTCAATTCAAATGGTTAGCCCGCTAGCTAAGTTGAGCTAAGTTGGTTTATTACAGGTTTGTAAGCACGGCGCAGGTAGCGGTGAAATTATAACACACGTAACCGAAGAACAAACACTGTGTGACAGGAGAGAGCGCAGCAGAGAGAGCCTACGTTAAATAACAGTTGACCTACCCGTTGACTTGTACCATTATTTCATCCATATTTCTATGAGTAGACAAGTTGGCTAGCTGGTTGCTGGTTGGCTACTGCACTGCAGAGATCGCTGGCCGCTGTAACGTTCACAGCCCGCGTCGCTATTGGTCAGAATGCGATTAAAATGGAGAGCGGTGATTGGTCGTCACTTTCACTTTGTGTTTCTATTGGCTGGTCGGGACAAGGAGTATACACATCTGTTGGGACAAAAACTCAAGTTATAATACTGAGAAATGTTGCATTTTACAATATAATAATTTATTATTGTTAAAGGCTGTTTAAAACTTTATTTATGAGAGAAAAACACACACACATACACACACACAAGGGTGGTTTCACTTTCACTACATCAGACCAGGTGCAGATCAATAAACACTGTATGTAGACTTGTCAAATCTGGACTAGATTAACAAGAAGAGTGGAAAAACAGTTTAAAACACAGCTTCATATTTGTGAAACATTTACACCTCTTGTGAAAACAAACAAATAAATGTCAGTTTCACATTTTGTTTTGTTTTTTCCCATCCACACCAGACCAACAAAAAGAAAAAGAAAAGAAGGAAAGAAATGTCATTGATAGTAATTACTCTTCCTGTGTAACGACCTTACACCTCATTTCTGATCATTTCTCATCACCAAAACAAAGATGTGATGTCTGCAGTTAAGAACAATTATTATTACTACATTTTGACACAGCACCTCTCAAGAACATAGGTCTGCAGAATAAGTTAAAAATGCAGGCCCCCGTCTCAGTTAATATTGTAATATTTTCAATAAATTTGCATTTAAGCAAAATCCATTGACAAGCAGCGAATCAGAGGCTTTTGGAGGCCCTGGCCCCATTTTGCTCAAAGCCTACACCAGGAACTCACACAGCTGAATTTAACTCAAAATAACCTGACACCACATTTACTCTCACCTGCTGTACACCTCAGCGATTCTGCAATTGCACTCCAGGTAACATACACACAGCAGAGTATACTGTATACCACGTACTGTGTATCTTGCCAGATTATCAAACGCATCAGTGGGACAACAGGCTGATGAAATGCTGATGACTTAAATGTTACTGTGCAGCGGTTCAGATTGCTTCAGACAGACTGCTGAGCAGATCATAAACTGCAGAGCACTACAGGGATGTCTCTAAAACTAAATTACCTGACCAGCAGTCTAGAAAACATGAAATTAGTAAATATGAGTATGTGAAAATGTTGACAGGATATAACAGTTCAGGTCTGTCTTTATGAAGCCGCCTCACAGATCCCTAAATGTTCTGCAGGTGACATATTTATGTATTTTTGGCCTCGGTTTGAGTCAAAGCTACTGTTAGTAATACTTAAAAATACTTTAACTTAAAAAAGCACTTCTTAATCTGTAAATTAACAAGATTGAGAGTCTACAGTCAGGACTGCAACTAATTATTATTTTCATCAATTAATTGATTAATCATTTGATCTATAAAACATAAAAAAATAGTAAAAAATATCCCTCACAATTTCTTCTTCAAATGTTTTGTTTTGTCTGACCAACAGTCCAAAATCAGATCAGCAAAGTCAGCAGGATTCTTCCTCTGGGGATCATGAACGTCTGTAGAAAATTGAACAACAATCCATCCGATAGTTGTTGAGATATTTCAGTGTGGACCAGTATCACCACGTAGAGTCATGCTCCCAGCATGGCTAATAATGAATCATCTATTGAATCCCTTCAATAGGCCAAATGTAAACAATGGTTCACTTTCAGTGCCTGTTTTAACATGTTACTGACCTCTACAAGCAGCTTTTATGTAGCGAGTTAGTCACATGAACTATATCCACAGGGCAAAGAGAACAATCCCCGCAGTTGTCCTCACTTCTTGTTTCCATTCATAATACGAAGTTATTTCAGTACCACTCAGTGTTTCAGTGTTGCTAATCAGGACGGGATGATGAACGTCTAAAATACAATGAATCATGGTGACAACTATATTGAAAATACAATTTATTACACTGAGTAATAAATACATACAAAGATGCAAGTAACAGCATTTTCCTTTTTTTTTTTTTTTTTTAATACCAAAAACCAACCTCAACACGAATGAACCGATGCATTTGGCACATCTCTGTCCCTCACTCACTCAGTCATGTGTGTTATAGGGGTCTGAAAAACAGACCAAATACTATCAAAAAGAAGCCGTCTCCATCTACCCCTGTACAAGCCATGCAGTGTCTACAATTAACCCCCGGGCCCATTCGCATGCATAAACCAATGCTTTTAAATATGAAGTCAAAACTAAGATCCCAAAAGTGGGGCATAAAAACACATGATATCCTTTCATTTGAATTCCAATAACCCACAAATGATTTAAATGATCCTCCAGAACCCTCAGGAGTCATGAACTGTGTTACTGTTTTTTTTTTTTTATCCTCTAGGAGCTTGCCTCCTCATCCTTTGTTCATTTACTTCCTCCTCTCAAAGGAAATGCCATGCAAGTTATTTATTGTTTTCATGAGACGCAGACTGTTAGTTCTTCTTGCAGGGAGGAATGTGTGTTCGTAGCTAGGACCTTGCGTTTCTCTCCGTCTCAGCCAAGCATTCACGCACCAGCCCTCTAGCGTGGATTATTCCTGTGAGGGGAGATGAAGACAGATCAGATGAACAAACTTTGAATTACACACGCTACACTGCACTATGTTTTACACATGCACATCCAGGTTTACGGTTACCTCTTTTCAGTCTCTCCATTGCACTCTTGCTTCCAGCATATGTTGGCCTGATCTCCTTTCCGAGCTCTTCGATGATGGCCAGCAGCTCTGCATATTTGTTCTGAGGCACTTGGCTTCCAGTAGAGCCCTGATGGAAGAGCAAACACAGCAAGATGAGCCAGGTTCAACACTTTTACATGTGGAAAGCACTGTTTTACTGAGAACACTACAATAGGAAAAAAAGAAGAGGTTTAAATTGTTCTCCAAAGTCAAGGTCTTGGTGTCTGTACAATGTTCCTGTAATGCGACTAGGTTTGGGTTCAGAGGTGAGGGGGAAACACAACAGCCAAATAACAAAACACAAAAATTGCACCAACACTAATTAAGGATCCCCTCCAGACATGTTTGAATATACTCAGCTTTGAATAATAGCTTGTCTGATATGCTTTGTTCCAAAAAAGTGTATTTACCTTCTTAAAATCACCTCTACAAAATATATACAACATTTTCTATAAGTTATTATGAACTAATGAGTTGGAAGAAACTAAATGAAAAATGTCTGTGCCAATCACTCATTAGCAGTTACCTGTGAGAATCCCAGAGATGGAGGTCCATAGTCGCTCAGAAGGGGCCTATAGGACTGCAACGTGGCCAGGTTAGCTGCTGAGGGAGACTGGAGGTTTCCAACTGTTGACACAGCAAAAGTGTAAAGTTCAGAGCAGCTAAACAGCAATTCCTAATGTCTTATTATTATTGTTTTCACTATCAACCCTGGGTACTTAGTTCCACTGTTCCCCTCACTCTCACAGCCCTGATTCAACACTGAGTTGTGGTCAAATATTTGCTTTTACTCAATAGGGTTGGTTCAGATTATTTTCAAGTCTATCTTAAAACAAACAGTCAGGGGAACCCATATGAACATTCAAACTGGTTTCACTTCCTAGCGGCCCTCTGACCCTTTGGGCCCCTGGGTCAGAGCGACATTTCTTGTTGGGAAATCAGACAATTATAAAGAGACTCAAAACAACTACAAAAAAAAAAGGTGCAAAATTTACCACAACGAGACACAAAATGATCATAAATTGACACAATATCACCATAAAGGACACAAAGCAAACGCAGAGGCGCAAAACGACAACAATAAAAGATACAAAAAAAATCAATAAGATCAAAAATAGAAAAAAACATGACCAGGAGATCACAATATGTCCAAAAAGACGTTGAATCTATGGCCCTGGTTCTTATGTTGGAGACAATGGGACAGTGCCCCATTGTCTCATAATCTGTTCTATGGCTTTAAATAACATTTTAAATGCAGTACTGTAACCTGTATCAGTAATTCTATCACTGTGGTATCACTCGTTTTACTTCTGATCTAAATCCTGTTTCCACCACTGGGAATAAACATCCAATATTTACCCAAAAAAAAAAAACCCAAACAATTATTCCCGGTAAAAAAAAAAAAAAATAACACAATTTTTGTGGGGTTTTCCCCCCCAAAAAAAAAAAAAAAAAAAAACCCACTCGCTCCCCTGCTGCTTTGTTCGCTTGTAATTTTCAGCCTCCAACGCGAGATGTCCTCGAAGAGTCATAAAAAAAATTCAGAAGCAGATCGATCAGCAGCTCCGACCGAGGAGCATCATGGAGGAAACGGAACAAGGCTGGCTCAAGAAGACAGAAGTGATACATTTTTGTCACCGTGTAACGGCACCCACCCGGCGGGACCAGGACCCCGGACGACGGATAAGCACGTTTACGGAACCGTCGCCTTCTCGTTTCACATCCCAACCGTCTTTCTCCGCCGACTGATATCACGGATGGCGCTCTTTTACATTAGTAATAATGGCGGATATGAATTAGCCTAGCTCCCAGGATCTGACCCTATATATATAACTGGACAAAAACTACAGACACGGTCTTTCTCCAGGTATTCTCCGAGACCCCGAATTTAACACTCGATTTAACCGACGGATACTTTGATTTTCTCCCACATTTTCTCCTTACCCTGGTTCCCAGAAGTTCCCGGAATGTGCTGATGGACATTGGGTTTATAAGACATTCCCAAAGACATTGTAAATTAAAGAAATAAAAATGACCCGAAATTCAGTGAAGCGTCTGTCTCTCACTTTTTGTTTACAACAGCGGCACCGGCAAATATGGCCGTCACTTTATATTGACACCCACTATGCTTTCTAACACTGCAACTAAACGGTTGCGGGTTATCAAAGAAAACGGTTAAAAAACGGCATTTTTCTACGATTAAGCGGCGGGATTCACACACGGTTTAACACACATTTAACAAATTCCGTTAACATTTACCAGAAAGCTTACTTCAAACTACACTTTTTAAACTCTTTAAAAAAAAAAAAAAAAAAAAAAATGGGGGGTTTTTTTTTTTTTTTTTAAACAAAGTGTGTGAACATGTGAACTGCTTTCTCTCACATTTTAAAGTCTCTTCTTATATTTTTTACACCACATCAAAAGGCGGAAAAATGACTTTTAAAAGTAGATAAACAAACTTCACGTACTTACATAATTTTAGGTTATACTTTGCATTAACGCAGCTGGGTTTAGTGCAGGAAAATGCTTTTGTTTCAGTTAAGTTTCTTTCCTTCTCTTAACACAAAACACGAGCCGGAGGCAGTTTGCAGATACCTGTCTTTGTCTGTGGGGGCGCATCCATCGCTTCGTCTGCTGATGAAATGAATCAGCTTTTACATCAACCGAGGAAAAAAAAAAAAAAAAGGGGGGTTTGGAGTAATTAAAGTCCAGATAAACGATCCAGTCTCATTATGACGGAGAGGTTCGTGGCTGTCGATCCGCTCCTCTTCCACTCAGATAAGATGAAGAGGGGAGAGAGAGACGCTCTTTATATCCCCCCCCCTCCCACCGGGACCCTCCAGGCCACATGGTTGGACGCACAAAAACAAGGTCTGGCCCAGTCCTGGTCTTCAGGGTCATGACCTGGGACCTCTGGTGCAGGGGGGTGGGGGGTGGGGTGGGTCTTCCACAGAGGACTAGATGCCAGTGGACAGTGGTGGAGTATTGAGTATTTCTGATTTCTGCCACCACTTCATCTTTTCATAGACAGATATTGAACTTACTCCCCTACATTTACATGATACTAAACAAAATAATGATAATAAATAATAATTAAAGATTATATTGTGGCTACTCATCAGTATATAAATAATTCAAATTAACCCCACCTTTATCAGGTGTACACATTTAAACATCTGTAATTACTATCCAATAATATAGTATATATTACTCTGAAATTATTATACTAATGCTTTTGTACTTTTGCTCAAGTAAATTGATGAACTTTATTTGTAATTGAGTAAATTTACACTTTAATTTTACTTAAATGAAAGATGTAAGTACGTCATTTCCAAAAGTAAATAATAAATAATTGAATGGTATTACAGATAAATGCTAATTATGAATAAATAAGGTTTGATTTGATAATTATGATTTAAAACTATGAGCTCATACAGAGCAAACGACTTTATGTCATCTGAAGCAATGCAGCAAATAAAATAAACACACATCATGACATATTATTATAGATTAAGAACTGTACTTACTTTGGTGTTGGTATAAACGTCACTGCACGTCACTCAATGCATCTGAAACAGGCAGAATATAAAATGTGACAGTGAATATGGAGATTTCAGGTGTGGTTAGCTCTTTGAAAATGTATTGTGTTTTCAGTAAAAATGTAAGGTACTTGTACTTTACACTTTCACAGTTCAGAGGAAACTGTTATCATCTTAAAAAATATGATAAAATAGATAATAGATTAAACCACCCACCAGTGTATAAGTTGTTAGAATAAGCTCCATCTCAACCAACTACAGCAGTAAAATGACTCTTACACATCATCAGTAATTATAAGTGAATAATATAAAATGTAATAATAGTACATTCTCAGTGGTCATTATTTGGAGATATATATATCCAAAAGAGCCTGGCATCCTTTCAAAATAAAACAGAAATATTAGCAGAAATAAAATAGTCTAAATGACTCACGTGTAGCAGTGATAAAAATCAGCTGGTTTAAATTATTTGAAATTACTTTTTAATTAAGATTACACCAAGCTTCTTTATTTGCCACTGGGCTCATTCATAAAAGTCACGATGGCGTCAAATACATGTAAATCTTCCTGTAACGGGAACTGGGTGTTTGTTTTTTCTGAACTGAGCTGTATGATAGTGACAGGATGAAGATCTAACTATGATAAACAGTGATACGAGGTAGAAGTATACCAAGCTTTATTGAGCAGCGCACTCATTCATGTACAGGTAATGTCGAATTTTTGTACAACTCTTGTCAGTAGTGCAACTCGTGCAATGATAAAAGAAAAAAAAAAAAAGAAAAGAAGAAAAGTCCTTCAAGTGTTTCAACGTCAGAGGAGCCGATCTGCCGTGACTTTTTAACGTCACTCAAAAACAATGTTACCATCACGTCAGCAGCCCATGTACACGACATCTCAAAAGACAAAATAAAAACATGAGTTTGTTGGCTTATATATGGTGCACATTCAAGAAGTTAAAATATGTGACTTTGAATTTCGAGAGCAGACCTTACAGATATTTTCATCGAGGCCTTTTCCCCCATATACTGTCCCAACAGTTGAGATGTGCTGCATGAAGAAATTTCAGTTTGGATCCTTTTACAAATTGTACAAAATCCACATTGGTATGATACAAAGACTTTTTCCTTCCTTTTTCACCTGCCTTTAAATGCATCAATGAAAACCAGGAGAGAACACACACACTTAATAACAAACTAATCCACAGGTTCAGATGTGTCCGAGCGCACTGTGGCAGAAAACACATCTTTAATTATCAGCTATTAGGACAGCTCATGTATCCAGACTTTGGTCTGTCCCTTCCAGTGCAGATCGAGTATAATGCAATACAGGACTGAGGAGGCAAAGAGGTACACTATTCAACAGAAGCAATCATTGAATTTAATTACACCTGGGCTCAAGAAAGCAGAGGGATTAGAGAGAGGTGTTTTAGGAACATGTACTGTGAAGATAAGGAGCTGTGAACACAGCTGTAGACAGAGCCAGAGTAACATCACTGAGTAGAGGTGTAGTCATGCGTTTCAGATACACTGTAAAACCCAAGATTTTCTTTGTTTTGTTTTTCAAAGAGGGTCTTTGTATGAGTTTAACCCCTGAGCGGATTTCCATTTAAAAAAAAAAAAAAAAAAGGCAAAGAAAGGGAAGAAAAAATACGAAAGAAAACATCTGAGCACATCACTGTGGCTGCTCTGAAACCTGCTCAAAAATCAGAAAGTGATGGGTCTTTGTCAAGGACATGCATTTCACATTTCTCACAATTCCTTGGCTGCTTTATAGTGTTTGTTTTTCATTTGAATTAACAGCTAGTTCAGCCAGGCATCACCAACACCAACACCAGGAATAAGTTGACTGAGGCAAAGTCGAGGTAAAGACCAAAGGTGGGCTTTTTTTTTTATTCTACAAAAATAAAGTGTTTTGATTGACTGGGATCAAGAAGCTCAAATCTTAACTGCTGAAATAAAACAGCAGTAACATCTGTAGCAACATCACGTCCCCATATTTAGCATTTATAAGCAATAAACAAACATTTAATTAATGCTTTATCACACACAATAATTTGACTATAAACAGATTTAAGTGTTTATTAATGTATTTGTCAACTATGTAACTCCTCCTGTGGACACCCATAAGTGGATACTGGTGTATAAAGAGATGAATGACAATATATTAAAACACAGTTGTAATATAAAATGCATCTTCATAGGAGAAGTTGTAACTGTTAAACACTGAACAAAATGTCCTTATATCTGCTTATAACCACGTTATAGTGCGATTTAAACAATTGATTAAGTGTGTGATTGCTGCTTATTAAAGCAGGGAGACTTTTTTTTTTTACATTTTCATTTGTAATGAAAACGGAATGCAGCACTGACTGCCTAAACCAAATATCCATTGTCTGGAAAGAAAGGCCGGTTTGTTGATAACACAAGCTTAGCTTATTCCTCTGATGTTTAACTGTGTCAACATTATTTTCTTACTTTCACCTGCTATAAATAGAGAAAGCGGACAGCTGACACTGAACCAAATCTTTCCTTGTTAGTGCTTTGTAAAGGTGCCTGACTGCAGCGGCTGTTTCTACTGATACAAAGGCACATTTGACAAACTCCTGACGGTTATGGACAAAGAGGAACACAATTATGAAAATGAAATTTAAAAAAAAAAAAAAAAAGGAACCAAGGAACTTTGATCACTTTGAGATCCATGTGCAAAACAAAGATAAAAGCAAAAGCAAACTGGTCTGTGATAGTGATGAAAGAGGTTTTTGACAGTAATGACATTTTGGTCTTTGTCTCGTGAGCGAAAACGTCTACAAAGCATCAGAAAACAGCACACATCAGGTTTCCTGCAGTTAACTGGACTAATAGTCAAAGGACAAAGAACCAATTCTCTCTCTCTGTTAGTGCTGAACAATAACGAGGAGGGAAAAACTGACTAACAGTGCTCATCATATATTACTATGGGATTGTAGTTCAGCATTAAATGCTATTTTTTTTTTTTTTTAAATGACTAAGAAGTTCTCCGACTCTGAAAGACTTAGTGGTCTTTGTCTCGTCCACCTTTGGTCTGGACCAAGAAATAAAAGTCTTTGCTTCATACCAGGTAATCTGGACTAAACAGACTAAAGCATGTGTGAGGAGTGGATAACAGCCACAGGCTCTCTAGGTTTAAACTCTGTCTGGACCAATATATCACAAATCTTTTCACTCTGAATGTCAGAGGACAATACATCACCTGTCAAATCGCTCTAGGTGAAAACAAGAGTCTCTGGAGATTAAAATTAAAAGAAAAAACCCTGAAATCTTCTCTCTGTACAACCACTGCTTTACATCTGAGAACCACGACAGCTCGGTGCAACACCTCTGACCCTCAGACGATGGGAAAAAGGGGGCGTGAGGGTG